CATAATCACTGCTCTTACGAGTGGATTTTGAAGGCCGACTAAGGCCTGTAGAGACTGTAGCCATTGTGCCATTTCCACTGTCTAGTGATCGCTCATTGATATTACGCTAAAGAAACAGGGTAAATCAACGTTACAATCATTCATCGTCATTATCATCACCAGTCTTAGAATGTGGTCAACCAGAAGTGAGGCCTTTTTCCTCATACTAGTGAGTTGAAGCAGCGACGCATGTCGACCAGAACTGGCTTTTTACACTCTTAAACCCTGATTTCAAACAAATTTTTGGGCAAATCGTCGCTATAGGGGTAAAGACTCTTCGCAATACAAATTTGGTGGCGTCAAGGCAATTTAAAATTTAAAAAAAGGCTCACTTCCGGTTGACTTGCGTCGCGCAAAAACGTCGCTGCCTTATCTCCCTCATATGCCCTGACGCTACAAAATTTGTATTGCTAAGTGTCTTTACTACTATTAAAGACGATTAGATTCTAAGAGTAAAGACGAGGGCGACTACGAATACGAGATTTTCTCAAACAGTGCTTGCGCGTAAACCAGCGTGTTTTTTTGCAGGAAAAAGTGATAGTCATCTTTATTCCACTACGAGTTTTAGGGAGAGTAGTGGCGGAAACATGTCATCAAATGTTAGAGGTTTTGCGACCGGTAGAGGGCTTAACCTCCTTCAATAAAGATAACAGTGGTAACTTTTCTGGTGAAAAATGTACAATGAAGCTTTCCAGGGTGTCTATTTTTAAAGAATACGCGAGAAGAACTTTGAGTCACATCTCGTACTCGTAGTCGTTCTCGTCCCCGAATCTAAAGCTCTCCATTATAGAGACGATCTGCCCAAGAATGAAAAATTTTCATTTCCGGTGGACGAGCGTCGCTCAAAAACGTCTTTGCTTAAGCTCCCTTTTTGCAAGTTCGAGTAGCTTCACAAGGTCTTCTGGGAATTTTACAGCTTCTTTGTTGAGGTCGGGCCATTACGTTCGTGTCGTTTGAGTGACGTTGCTTCTAGTCTTAAAGTGTTCTGTTTCTTACCCTTCCCTCCCTTTGGAACGAATAATAGTAAGTATGCTAGGCTCCACTGGTTAGCAGTGTGACGGTGCCTGGGCAGATGCCACTCATACGGTTGTCATAGTTATGCAATAATTGCACTCAGCTGTAGTCCTTGTCTTCAACAGCCTCTCAGTCGCCTTACTCCGAGCTAATCTTTGTTGATGATTTTTACACGACGTGCAAAATGCAAACACACGCTTTTCGCTCTCTAATGTACATGTACCTTTGGCCAGTTGAACTTTATTCCACGCACCTCTTTGTCACCCAAATTCTCCTCAGCCGTGTTTGAAATTTTAATTCTAGTGCAAGTTTTATAAACAATAGTTACGTTTTTGAATTGAATGAGCGAATGTACCTTTGGCCAGTTGAACTTTATTCCACGCACCTCTTTGTCACCCAAATTCTCCTCAGCCGTGTTTGAAATTTTAATTCTAGTGCAAGTTTTATAAACAATAGTTACGTTTTTGAATTGAATGAGCGATGTATTTTAGTCTGCATGGCATACCTGTGGAGGATATAGCCGGTCAGTTGAGGAGTACTTCAGCAGTCTTTCCTGAGTCATAAATGGATGATCTAAAATCCCTGTAAGTACAATATGCACAGTTGAAAAACGCTAAATCTAATTTGGTTAGCTCGAACTGTTACTCAAAGCTAAGTTGAACTCATTTTACCCACCCCCCAATATTCGGGAAAAAAAGGTTTAACCCACTTAGACGAACTCAACCCCCCCCACAACGTCGAACTCTATATTGTGTGCCTAGCGGACTGAGCTAGGGCTTTTTCCACCCAACCATTATAACAGGAGTAAGGTAATTTTCAGTTGATTTTGCTTTTGATTTAGTTTGTAGTTGTTGTTGTTGTAGTGGCTTTTTTTACCCCTCAACTTGTGACTTTTAAATTTTGGGGGTTATTGTTTGTTGCTTGTTTGTTTGTTTGTTCGTTTTTTCTACTGTACAAGTACTTAAAAATCAGGGCTGAATGGTCTGAAGTCCTGATAACTCTTATCCTGTTTTAACCCTTCAAGCCTCAGACCATACATTTTCCTTATTCTTAAAATTAGTTGAGAGAACTTGCTAGAATTGTGATCTTGTCATTGATTCTCATAACCTCTTCTCTCAATAACGTATCAATATCGTTTGGAGAAAATTAATGCAGCTCACTCTTAGAGCCCAAGGGATTGTCATGGTAACTAATCAATGATTTACAGTAATCTAACACCTTGGTAAAGGTACCTTTAAGTCACTGATGGCCGATCAATTATTTTTTTTTACTTTTAAACATAGGTAATCACTATTAAAAGTATCAAGGTTATACTACATGTAGTTGCCTTATAACCAATAGGTGAGGTACGAGAGAAGAACAATTTAAGAATTAAGTACATAGATCAGTACATGTACCTGACAAGGTGATTCTGTCACCAGGATTCTAAAATGTCGTTCATAACACAAAAAATTAATCAGCACTTATTTGTTACTTTACATGTATCTAAAAACTATGCAAATTTATTTATGTGTATTTGTATAGAAGGCATATGTAACAGCTTGCAAATTCCCTGCATGCCTCAGAAGGACATTTAAAAATTCTTTGATCATCATCATTGTCATAATCATCAATGTCTTGGTAAAATATTTACAAAACGTTTTCATGTTTGCTTTTGGTGAGGAATAGCCTCTGACAAAGCAGGGCTGTAACCAAGGTTACAGAGTCTGATAGCATGGAAAGGGGGCAGGGGGGCAGAAAGGATGTTCTTATTTGTACTAAACATTCCACAGCCAGAGCTCCCATCTTCACGCCCCAGTTAGTTGTTTTAAAGGTAGTTAACACTATTCACCAGATAAATCTCTATCCACTGGATAACTAAATTGGTTTCCCAAATACTTACGGTTGGATAGTAATTCATTCTTCAGATAGCCCTATTTATTGAGGCCTGGGCTCTAGGCCATACCACATTACCATACTCCAGTTTTTCAAGTATAAAATATGTCACACAAAATGCAGAAATGTAAACCTCTTTTGCATAAGAAAAGCTAAATTTTGTCCATCAAAGAGTTATCCCTAGCAAAACAGGTACACATCATGTACAGTGTACCGGGTATGTTGTAAGTAAGTCACCAGTAGATTGTATCCATTTAGACAACTGTAAAATAGTTCATCTTATAACGTACCTTCTTCAGGAGCTGCGCAATGAGATCTTGAGCTTCTGACGACAGATTACTACCATAAAACAACCAACAAACAAGAACTCTGCTTATTACATTGTAAGTACAGTATTACAGCAGTAAGCAAGTAATTTCTTATCCTGTCAGAGTCACTCTACATTGTACTTTCAAGAATAATACAGTGAAACCTCTACTAAGCAAACCTTCCCAAGTGTCCGCTTAATAGAGGTTTGCAAAAATGGCGCAATGTTTGTTGACGATTAACTTTCAACAGTTACTCTGTACTTTGATAAAGATCCATGTTACTAAGGAAGCTAAGGAAGCTGCCCTGTTCTTTGTGCAAGACTTTCGGCCTAATCTACAGTTCATTGACAGATAAATGAATTGATTTATCTTTATTTATCGACTACAGTACATATTTCAAGGAATATCCAATACTACTATTGTCAATTCAGTCTTGTGTTTGCTTAATAGAGGTTTTTAACAAACAAATTTAGCCAAATACAATTTATTTTAGTGTCCGCGTCCGCTTAATAGAGGTGTCTGCTGAATAGGGGTTTGTTATAACTTTAGGGAATTATAACTACGTTAATTTCAGGACCCTACTTAGTGTCTGCTTAATAGAGGGTGTCCACTGAATTGGGGGTCTGCTTAATAGAGGTTTCACTGTATAATTACTGTCAATTGTTGTTTAATACTAAAAACAGTAGTACATGAACATCTTTTGGGTAAACCTTGTTATATTACTATAACATTAGAGTGGTTTTTGTTTGAGTGTCGTAAAACCAAAACCAAAGTAATTACTCTGGCCAATCACATAGGACACAGACAACACATTGAACCAATCAAAACTCGAAGTAATTACATGTGGCTGACGCAAAGCGCGGGAAAATGCATGCGAGCGCGTCACAATTGGCTTTGGTTTTACTTCTGATTGGATGAAAAGGTGGCGCGAATCTTTTAAGCCAATCGCATCGTGTAGAAAGTGCAAAACCAATTACTTTTCGACACTCAAATGAAAACCGCTCTATTATAATAATGTTCAAACTCACCTTGGTAAATCATAATCAGCCAACACTACCCTGTTTAATGTGCTCTTTACTGCCTCAGTCTAAAGTTAAAACATTTTAAAACCAATTTAATATTTTTAGTAATATTTACAAATGGACGTCTTTGGTTGTGTTCACACTCACACAGGATACAATCTCCCAAGTATTCCTAAGTAGAGAACTTTCTTCTTGGTAATCAAAAACTAACCACAGGCATACAGGTAGTGCTGAGTGACTTAGGTAAAATTATTGCAAATTACTTCAGTCTGCAGTCTTCGATGCTTATATAAAAACTACAAAATAAATACCATACAGTAAACCACACTTTTTTTTATTCTGGCAAGAACAGGACTGTGTTCTAACAGCACCTCTTGACCACTAGAGCCCTATTATTTCATGCTATTATTTTGCTCCTGGATGACTAGGAAATTTTAATGTATTTGTAGTTTTGTCATACAAATACTGAAAAGTAAAATTCATACATTGTATCCTGGGCACCCTGGATATCATACAATGTACAGTGTGCATGAAGCTTCCAAGCACTGGGTTCCCCTCAGTTTTTCTTAGAGCAAAAACAAGGCCTTGGGTATTTTTTATATTATTACACGTTGTTAAAAAAATCATGTATATGTACATGTGTAGGAAGCTTTTTTGGCAGGGCTCAAAAAAAGTCCCGTCCAGTGGTCCGGGCCAGGTAGATTTTGTTGCTGGACAAGTAACGCATCAAGCTGACTTGCAAAATAAGCAAGGGTAAAGGCAGTCATGGATCACTAAAGAAATCATTAAGTGAGAGGAGCAAGAGGTGGCCCCGGAAAATAAAATGCGAGAGCTGCTTGCCCAAAGACCAAGCTAGAATTCAAGTTTTTTTTAGCCCTTTTTTGATAATCTCTTACTCACATCAAAAGGAGGTTTTCCAACCAGCAGGGTGTAAAGCATACATCCCAGAGACCAGACATCAGACTCAAGACCATGAGGACCTCTAGTGGCTATCTCTCTACAAGAAAAAAAAGAACATTTTCTGTAGAATTATAAATTGCTCCTTAATTTCGGCGCAAAATTTCAGCATTCATTTATAATTTCACATGTGAAATTACAAAAATGCCATGGCAACCTTCCATACGTGTCAATTAATGCCAAGATGACAGCAAATTTTTGAAATGTAATGAAATCAATGAAGATGTTAGGGAATTGACAGACATTTTAGAAAACCTAAACATGCAAAAGAGCACATCAACAATATCAACTTAAGCTAAAATTCAAGCTCTAAAGTGTTCATTGCAGAGTTCTTGATCGATAATCAATTTGATGAACAATGTCAAAACCTATGATTGTGAGTGTATTTGTCACCCATGATATTAATAGCCAGGTATTCGTTATCAAATGGTATGCTCGTGAAAACAGTGAATAATTTCACTTGTGTTTTGTCCAAATCATAACAATTTCTTTTGCCTTAAGGTTTGGGAAATTATTAGCATTTGGAGAAAATGTGTAGGAAATTATTCCTTAATTTCCCTCATCACCATTTCATTGTAAATAGACATTAATACTAACACCACTGAATCACATTGTACATGTAGTACTCTCTGTGCATGTACTCTAAATTGCTTTGGTTGCACCTAACTCATTGGAAAACAGTGATTTGTTTGATACAGTACAAATATAAATAATGCAAGATATACAAGTGTCGCTTTATAATTATCAGTTGGTGTAAAGAAAAAAGTGGAACGGAGATGCCTGAGGCATAGATACCTGCAGACAACACAGAAGCCATTCAGTACCACAGTGGACCATAAAGGGAGCAGTTTCCACCTCGAATAATGCCAACAATGCTTTGGATTGAAACCCAGGTACTGCGTGGTTAGTGATTTGTTAGTGTGACCATGTAACATGTTTATCAGGGTTTTAGTTGTGATAGCGGACTACTTCTGGACGTCATGCGCCAGTTTGGAAGCGCTAGTTATAGATTCACTGATAACACGTAAAAACGATAAGCAAAACCCTTTATACACTGTAAATGACGTCCTGTATATAAAAACCAGCAACACTGGACCTACTCTCCTACATACATTGGTACATACCGATATTACAGTTAATTATTGTATTATTGCTGTTGGATGAATTCAAGGTAAATTTACCTGTAACTATTTAATGATGCAAGCATTAATTGGAGATTCTTAAAGTGTTTACTCACGGAGAAATATAGTTAGGTGTTCCACACATGGTATAATGCTTCTCATTAGGCATAGTAAGCCTTGTGGCAAGGCCAAAATCACCAATTTTCTGCAAATGGACAAAGTACACTTGTACATTTTCATACATGTATACTCAACACCTAACCTCCCTACTGATAATACATTCACTGTACATTGTACAGTGTAATACCCTGCGAGCAGAGGCTACATTTTTGCTGTGTGAGCTGGTGTGCGAGAAGTAGCCTCGGCCAACAACAATTCAATTTTCTATCGTGCATAAGCAAAATTCGTCATGTGATTCGCAAGCAAAATTAATTGTCAGGTCTGTTCTTAAATGGCGCATTAGTTTCACAGGAATAAAAAATTGCAACAACTCTGATTTGCTATGCAAGACTCATACAATGCTCTAAACTGGTCAAGAACAGGAAAAAAAACTCGTTTTTTTTATTTATTCATTTACATTTTTGGACAGATTTGAATGGTTGTCAGCAGAGGCTACTTTACACACAACAGCTCACACAAAGAAAATGTAGCCTCTGCTTGCAGGGTAACAGTGTAAATACTTTGAACGGAGAAAATGTCCATCATATAACACAATTAATAATCAATGTTACAAAAGTGACTTTAAAGTCCAATTGTACTATGTACAACTTGTATCTCTTTTCCTTTCAAACTTATCATAAAAACAAACTTACAGCATCCATTTCTTTTGTGAGTAGAATGTTCCCTAGAGTAAGATCACGGTGAATAATGCCATGAGAGTGAAGATACAAAACTCCTTTAACAACTTGAGTCATGATGTGACGAGCTACAAAAAGAAGAAAGTCAGCCCAGTAACTAAGATAAAAATAATAATAATGATAAAATAAATATCAATCTAATCGTAATCATCATTGACCCAGGCTTCCCTTTGAGCCATAAATTCTTGAGAGTGTTTGAACAACTGAAGGGAATGCACCTGAGGGAAGTTCCTCAGGCTGAAAATGTTCTTCAGAGATGAACATTAGCATGTTGAACATACAAACAGTACTTGCGTACAGCTGTACTTATGTATGTTACAGGTCAAATTTGACTTCAGCTTCATCTTGATTTAAACTAGGTTGATTCTCAATTTCCTTTGTCTCCTTGCCCTAAGAGACAAAGGAAATTGAGAATCTACCTATCTTTAACCTGATATCAAATTTGACCAGTAACATGCACTTTGTGCCCAAGATAAATTGAAGATGAGATTCAAACTTAAACTTCAAGAAATTTTTTGACAAGATATGTGAGTGAAAGATACACGTAAAATATTATTATTAAAATTATCATTATTATGTGGGGCAGATCTGTATTTGGCATAATTACATGTATTTAATTATTAGCAAGCCATATTGTAATTCCACTCTCAGCAGATAACACCCTCCTCAATCTGCATCATACATATGTACGACAAAATTAATTGTAGATTTGCTGCAAGTACAGCATTTTATCATGCTTGTGAAGTGAAAATAAAAATACATCCTTGAGGTCATTTTAATGAATTCCTTGTTATTTGAGTTATTTTAAATTTATAGCTCTAGAGGTACATGAAGGGAAGGTTTAATTTATGTAAATGAGGAAAACTGGGATGTGATTTACAGCCAACTCATTAAACATAAAACTAATTCTAGTTAAATTTAATCATGAATTATTAATCAATTCTTCAATACTGGTTAAAGAAAAAATTAGTCTGTACCCTCATTTTCACCCACTGGTCTTCCTGTTTTCTTGAGATAGCGGTTGATTTCTGAATTGTGGCACATTTCCAGAATCAGGTAGACATAATTTGAATCCTCGAAATAATTGTAAAGCTGAAGAATAACAAAATGATGTCAGTGATTGTATATGTTGTGGTTACATTTTATCCTTGGTTTAATTTTTATTTTCCTTTGTTTTGGGGTATGGTAATGTATGATAATGATTTTAGAACAAAGGAAAGTAAAAATTAAACCAGGGACAAAATTGAACCACAACATATACAATAAAATTGTAACCTCTTTCAAGGCTACAATAATTCTAAAAATTTCACAGTTGAAAGTTAAGTTTTCCATTATTGTTACATGTACTGTCCATTATTTTCATCCAAGAGACAGTGTGCATTCATGGTAATTACCAGAAATTTTTTGGTTGAATTTAAATAATGCAACCCATGTAGCTTTCTCACAAGTATTGATTTCAAAAAATTAATTTTAAAACCCTCAGTTTAAGGGCCAACATGTACATGTACAGTGTACATGTATGTATATGTACAGCTGTATGTCACTTTTTAGGTCAATTCTGTGTTAAAGTCATTCCTTAATGTAGTACCTTGACCTCCACATAAAATGCTCCTTTAGAGTTATGAGGTTGACGAAGATACATACATGTATCAAACAAACTTAAATGGCGTCCATCAGGAAGTTGGGTAATTTTAATTTTCATTGGACAAACCCTTGTACCAGAATAATTTACAACATAGTGCATTCCTTTTTTTACACTTTCCGGGGGGCTATATATAGAAATTAGTTATCTGTAATAACACCAGGAATTTTAGTATTAAATAGAGGTATCCATGTTTATCCTTACCATCCACAGCAAAACATGACAGGAAACAGTTTCAGTGGCTAAAATATAGTCTTTGTGCAGTGAGGCACCATGACAGTAAGGTGTCAAGATTACCACACAATAATGACCCTACAGTGTAGCCAAGCCTAAACCTGGACATCATCTCAACGTGAAGTCCTCTGTACTATAAACCACTACATTGTGTACGCTTCCCACAACGAGGAGTTACATGCAGCCTCTCTTACATATTTTTTTTAATTACAATCATCCAAGTCTCAGAGATGTCTTCCCATAACAGACACTAACCCGTACAGAATGTTGAATGAATGCAGACATTAGTTAACTGTTAAGTCCCATGGGTGCTCATGTACACTGTACATCGTAAGTTGCTCAAAATTTTGGTTTTGGAACACATTTATTAGAAACAAAATTTTTAGATACATGAACTTTTTGAAATTTATTAATTACCTCAAGGATAGCAGGATGTTTTAGTTGGCAATGAATTTCAACTTCATTTCTCACTCTTGCTACCATTCCTGATGTTTTCATAGCTTTCTTGTCAATCTGTGTCAAGAAAAGGAAATACATGGGGTGTGTAAAATAATTAACATTCACATACAGTACATGTAGGTTCACTTACCAAGTGCAATGGACATAATTAACATGACCTTATTTTAAGTCACATTATGATAAAAAGTTAACTAAAAAAAAATCGGTAAAAATACTTGAACTATTAATTTTTAAAATTTTTGGCTAAGGTTTTGATGACATGATAGAATCATCGAAACATTGGGTCCAGAGTTACTTGAAATGATTACCATGCCTGTGTTTCAAATCACAAGGTTTACTAAAAAACTTCAGTAGAAATACATGTACTAAACCTAGAAATATTCTCCAAAGTTTTGATGACACTATTAATTTTTTGTTATTATTAACATTATTTTTATTAATATAAATAATAATAATAATATTATTCTTATAGAATCACTGAATCATTGGATAGAATTATCTTTAGTTTTCCTTTTTTAAATACCACTGAAATTATTTAACACCACAAAGGAGTCAAGAGAGTCCAATGTCAGGAATTATAAAAAGCATAAGTTAATGAAGATATGATTAACTAACCATTTTGATGGCAACCTCTTGTCCTGTGGCTTTGCAGCGAGCGCGGTACACACAAGCGAAACCTCCTTTGCCTACCAGCTCCAGGACTTGAAAGTCCTAACCAAAATGACAATGTAAATACAAAGAAAAGGCCCCAGTTGTCCAAAAGGTGGATAATGCTATCGCCAGATAAATCACTATCCACTCAATAGTGCAACTCCTTTCCCCTTTTTTCCGTTGGATAGCGATTTATCCAGTGGATAGTACTATCCAACTTTTGAACAACTGGAGCCAGAAGTTACATAATTATATGGTCCAGAACAAAGCTACACAATGGTTTGTAGGTTTCAGGTTACCAAAAAGAACACTTTGAACCTGTAACCTTATACATCTTACATATAGGTTACCCAAGCATGTAATCAGTGACCAAAGAGAGTAGATGATTTTACAATTATTGCGTACATTGGTACCCTTTAGGAAAATTTCCATACTGATCCCTCCCCCATATACATGTAGAAGGGATTGGAAACTCTTGGGCGAGCAGGGGGTCTAAAAGACTAAAAGGATCAACAAAATTTACGAAGCACAATTGGAATTCTCAGGAGGAAGCGGCTCTCAAAAAAAATCCCTTATATCGGGGAGGAATGGATATCTTCTGGGACTACACATTTGAAAGTGTACCAATACTGGGGGCAATATGGCTCAAAAAATTTGTGAAGAGATTGATCAACAAATACCGAAAAGGCAGTTAGAGCAAAAGCTTTGCAAGGAAGGATTTCAAAGCAGCAACTATATGTACAGCCACATGCAGCTGTTAAAATGGCAATGGTATATGTGCAGTTTTTTTTTTCTTGTTGGCCTCAGTAGTTTCCGGTGGATAATGCTGCCAGGGTTGTCAGAAAGTTTTGAAGTAGACAGCTAAGTTGTCAAAGTAAGCAGCCAGTCTACGTATATTCTATTTAACAAACACCATCTGTAAAGAAATGCCAAGCAGAGTAGCTGGCCAATACTAACCAAGTAGGCAGCGATTTTTGCAGGCACCTGGCTACTTTTGACAACCCTGAACGCTATCCACTCAAATCTCTATCCACTGAAAATCGCAATTGGTTTCCCAAATACTTATCAGCTGGATAGTGATTTATCCGGTGGATAGCATTATCCAACGTTTGAACAACCTGGGCCTGGATAAAATGTGTTCTCACGTTAAACCAGCATTCAACTTCCTGTTGATTTCGAATTTCCTTTGTTTCCTAGTCCTAGGTCTTTATCATTTATAGGAAACGAAGGAGACTATGGGTTAACCTGAGAACGGATCCAACCTATCCTCTTTCCAACAACTGTAATTCTCCAAACCTAACCTTAAAAATCAAGTTCTCATCATACACTACTCACAAAAACTTTTGCGTTAAACCAGGGTTCAACTTCGTGTTGATTTCGAATTTCCTTTGTTTCCTAGTCCTAGGTCCTTATCATTTATACGAAACAAAGGAGATTATGGGTTAACCTGAGAACGGATCCAACCTATCCTCTTTGCAACAACTGTAATTCTCCAAACCTAACCTTAAAAATCAAGTTCTCATCATACACTACTCACAAAAACTTTTGCGTTAAACCAGCGTTCAACTTCGTGTTGATTTCGAATTTCCTTTGTTTCCTAGTCCTAGGTCCTTATCATTTATACGAAACAAAGGAGATTATGGGTTAACCTGAGAACGGATCCAACCTATCCTCTTTCCAACAACTGTAATTCTCCAAACCTAACCTTAAAAATCAAGTTCTCATCATACACTACTCACAAAAACTTTTGCGTTAAACCAGCGTTCAACTTCGTGTTGATTTCGAATTTCCTTTGTTTCCTAGTCCTAGGTCCTTATCATTTATACGAAACAAAGGAGATTATGGGTTAACCTGAGAACGGATCCAACCTATCCTCTTTCCAACAACTGTAATTCTCCAAACCTAACCTTAAAAATCAAGTTCTCATCATACACTACTCACAAAAACTTTTGCGTTAAACCAGCGTTCAACTTCGTGTTGATTTCGAATTTCCTTTGTTTCCTAGTCCTAGGTCCTTATCATTTATAGGAAACAAAGGAGATTATGGGTTAACCTGAGAACGGATCCAACCTATCCTCTTTGCAACAACTGTAATTCTCCAAACCTAACCTTAAAAATCAAGTTCTCATCATACACTACTCACAAAAACTTTTGCGATTTTTCTAGTAAGATCAAAGTATTCAACAACCATTGCAACATACAAAGCAACCATTAAGATGTCTTCGCAAGAGTTTTGTTATGATACGGTGATTGTAAGAAATAACTTCAACACTGAGCCGTGACATTATTATTCATATGCTCATATTTCTGAATTACGAACAAGTGCGTTCCTTTTAATACTTATTTCACTGTGCTGTGAGCGGTCACGCTTTGAGCGCAAAGTAAGCTTCAGCTGAAGCTTACAATCATGTATCGGTATGCCGGTACGCACCGTTATTCTTAACTGTTTAAGAATCCACCCAGCATAGCTTGGAAAAATGACAAGCTTCACTCTCAGCATCGCGATTCACTCTTCTAGAAATATGAAACCGAGAAGCCATTTTTGTGGTCTTACCTCAATCGAGTCGCCCATGAAGCGAGACGTCATCTTCGATCAAAATTTTCCTTCCTACCACTCTATAGATTTCAACCAAACGACCACAGAAAAACGGACTTGATACAAATCTTGATTCCCTTTTGATTTGAAGCGTGATCCCATGTCCAAAATGGCTGTTATTCACAACTGTTTCACCGTGTAACTTTCAGATAGTCCCTGTATCCGCCATTCAACGAAACTTTGAACGGCCCGCGCAATCAACAACACTGAGCATCGAAGCGAGGCTAGACTTGTTGCCGTGCGTAAGGCATTCTGGGTTAAAGGAAACGAACGAACTTCAAAGAAGTGAAAATGAAGATAGATTCTCCTCCAACTTAAGCCAACTTTTCGTAACATAAACATTAAATGTGAAGGTTTTGCACTGCAATAAAAAAAAAAGAAATGTGAAAGGAAAAACAAAAAAAATTTCGTCCCCGGGTGGGCTTGAACCACCAACCTTTCGGTTAACAGCCGAACGCGCTAACCGATTGCGCCACGGAGACCACTTGAAAGATCTAGTTGAAATATTAAACTTTAAATCTAATGACTTGTTTCATTACGTCATTGTCCCTATCTTGTTCCCAGACTATCTCTTCTTTACTTCCTCCTCCTTCCCCGTTTTTTTATTTTTTTATTTTTCCATATCCTTTCATTTTATTGCAGAACTGCACAAATATGTTATTTTCCCATACAGGATTCGGGAAAACGCAAAATCTGTTGACGGGAATTTTAACAGGATTTGACTGCTACTTGTGCTAGCCGGGAAACGGGATTCACCCAAATTTGGACACGGGATGCAGGATTTTTTTTCCCTGTCTGCTGGGAAATCGAGACGGCTCAAATGTACGTTGTACCCTCCAAAGCAAACTACATAGAGAGCTTGTTGACGTTTTTAGAAATTAAATGGAGAGAATTTATTCCATATTTTTAGCTTTCTGCCTGTTTGCGAATGAATTCACCTCTATGTGAATAGTTAATTAACGTTACAAGTCCCAAAGGCCCCGAGATATGTGTGGTAAACAACCGTGTTGTTCTTGCTACATAAACACGTGCGGAAAATCATCCAATCAGGAAATTGTTTTAATCAAGAAGTTGCTCCGCGCCGACCGCGCCACATTCAAAAACTCACAACTAATTCAGATGTGGCTGTTGGCGAACCGAATTCGAACTTATTTAAATGCTCTCATAGCATCCGTCCTTCCACTGTCTTTCTCAGCTTCACTACAAGAAAGTTAACCACAGACTGAAATCAGTCTTGAAGTCACTCCCAGAGACGTTACAAAGGTAGAGGGCCCTGAGACGCGAGGTAAATTTCTTGATTTAAGACGTCCTCTTTGGGCTTAATTTGTATTCTGAAGAGTCCAACATTAAATTAAGTTCGTTGGTGAATGTTCTTGTTTTTTTTTTTTTCATTTTAAAGTTAACAAATTCTTTCTCAAAGAAGAAATAACAAGTAGTGCAAATGAAACCAAATTAAATTTTCAAGCAAGACTTCTGCATGATTTTCTTTAGCCAAGGGAACTTCGTACACGTGGCATAAATACAAGCGAAGCTAAAGTCAAGATATCAATGTCCAGAAGAGAAAAAAAGTTTTGCTCTTCTAACAAATTCGAATGGCTAACCATGAAAAAATTATTTCATTAAAAAAACGACGAACTGGACACATTTTCTTCCGTCGGTTCACAACAGCAATATTTTTGAGTTGGCAGTGAGTTGGTATTTTAGATATAAGCTATTTTAATGAAAGGGGTGCCTTGAATGAGTTCGTGAAAAAAGATTATTTAATTCGTGATTATCTATTTAAAGCAAAATGTATATTTAAGAAAATAGAGAAAAATTACCGGTAAAATTTCTGTACAGCCCCGTACACTTATTACGCTTAAATGTTTCGACTCTATAGATATGATATTAACTTTTTGTGTGAGTTCAAATTGCTCCGTGCACAATAAATGTAGGGGCTGTACGGAAAGCTTACCACGAAACGCAGTTAAATATTTACAAACAGTTATAACTGATAATTAAACTACCGTATTAAATGTTTTTTTATTACATGGATGTTGAATCCAAAGATGTCTTGACTGCCGATACACTTGTAAATTATTAATCACTTTTCGCATTTTTCTGGTTCGATGGTTTCCATTACTCTGATCCAGATTTGGCGAAATTGCCCTGAAGCCAGAAATATACTGATTAGATAAATAGATTAACAGTATTAAGACCATTTTGCCATCAAAACGTATTTATTTTTCATATGATATATTAAACTCGATTATGAACGCGAGCAAACTCAAGCGATACAAAAGTAATAGACTGATGAGATCATCAGCATAGCCCTGTATCAGTTGTTTGCTAGGTTTTTCTTTAGTCCGGATCCTCTTCCGACATGACTTTGAATCCTTAAAAATCTGCGACTTATATACCGAATTCGAAAAATAAAATATTTCCATTTTTTTCTCCGCTTCTCTTTAAGAATCAATAAGTAGCTCCCTGACACGCCACTACTACCACCTCAGTATTTTAATCCTTT